GTGACAGCCAGCCACGATCCATACGTACTCTAGGAGCAATGTTTAGCGCTGGTTGCTGTATACACCCTGTGTCTCACTGTTTTTTCTGTTTTTTTGTCTCTGCGGTGCGTTCGATCGCGGTGGCGCGAGCGCGAGGGTGGGCGCAAGGACGCCGCGCGCTCGTGCACACACACACACACACACACACACACACACACACACACACACACACACACACACACACACACACATGTGCCAAGTCAAGTTCCAACATCCATGCACGTCTCTTGATCTCCCTTGCTGCTTCGTGGAGCGTCCGATAGCGCCGTTGAGTGGAAGCGAGGTGACAAATTGCACATGCAAACTCAACTTCCAACTTTCCACCTTCCTTGCACGTCTCTTGATCTCCCTTCCTGCCTCGTGGGGCGTCTAATAGTGCCGTCGAGTGGAAACGAGGTGACAAATTGCACATGCAACAACACACGCAGATGCAAACTCAACTTCCAACTGCCAACTTCCATGCACGTCGGTTGGGTGCCCTTCCTGCTTCAGGAAGCGGACCGACAAGTGTTGCAAAAGTTCCAGGCGTCACAAGGTGCAAGGTTGACGGTCGTAGAGTGCATGCCGCACGGCTGTCAACTCTGTCTGTCTGCTTTGGGTCATGATCGGCGGCGAAAAGTCCGCACATGCTTGCATTTGCGTGGGTTTTGCTGCGTTGTCGTCAGCACGGCTTGTCAACCTCCTGGTCAACCGCCCTTGTCTCGCACTTCTGTGTATTGCTGGGCGCTGCTGCAATCCCTGTACGGCATTCTCCGGGCACATCACACCCTGCTCCATATCAGCAAGGAGGCGGGCAAGCGCTAGGAGGTGTCAGTCACTCCCCTAGGAGGGCGCGGCATGGTACCAGATGGTGATTGAGTGATTGCCAAACGGACTGGACTGGCGGCGAGCAGGTAAGTAAGGGATAGGAGTGTGGAGGCGTCTCAGTTGCAGCGATCGGGGGCTGGGAGGTGTCAGTGGCGGCCGTGGCAGTAGCAACGCCTGGCAGCAGTGCAGCCCGGAGGCACAGCAAGCCCTCGCACGGATACAAAAAGGCAGGCTGGGAAAGCAATGAGGGAGGGAAACAGTATCACTCTCCCCCTCCCCGAGTGTGCTTGAAGATAGCCATCGAGCAGGCAGCAAGCCGACACCGCAGGCCTACAGCACCACCAGCAACCAGGTAAGCAATCCCACAACCCCCAACTGAAGCCGCCGGCAAGAAATAACGCCCTCAAGTAGGTGATCCTCCCACAAACCGATGACGAACAAAATGCCTCCCGGGGGCAGCGGCAGCAACAACGACGGCCATGGTCTCAGAAACACGGAAGACACGAGCCCGCCACTCCCAACAGCCCGTAAGCGCCTTGCTTACCAAAAGCGGCTCCACATCCGCCGCCTCCAGCAAGGCGTGCTAGCAATCAGAGTGTCCATGCTTCGACTGGACCAGGTCGAGGAAGATATGCTCATGGACGAGGAAGACGCAGAGGCGATGGAGGAAGAACTGCACGAGCTGGCAGTTTCCATGGGCGAGATATCCATTGAGCTGAGCCACATAGTCAGTGAAATAGACCGCGACAACTTGTCCGCTGCGAGGCTTGCTCAGCAACCACAGGCCAACGCCGAGGCCCCCCGCGTCGTGGGCCAGACAAACGGTGAACTGCAGAGCGAGGCTGTCAACGAACAGACCAAGAGAGCTGGGGTGTTGGACGACCTCATCAGTGCCATCTTCCCCTCAAATGTATCCGAGGATGAGGGCGTGGCAGGAGAACAATGGCTGCAGGTCGATAGAAATTCTCTCCTCAGATTTCTGGACGATCAGGCTGCGGGTCGATAGAAATATCATCCGAGGATTCTTGGGCGATCGGGCCTGACCCAGATGTCAATGCCATGGTCAAGGGAAATGGTTTCGGAGAAGGTCAACGGCAATGTTTTTCCGTAGCTCCATAGTGTTGGTAGCAATAGAAACGAGTGTTCCAGATGCGATTTGCCGTGATTGCCGTCGAGAAGGCAGGTAGAAGTGGCAGAAGTGCTTGAAGACTCAGTGTTGGTCAATTTCCGCCAACCAGTGTCGAGAAGGTGCGGACACGGAACGGAACAACGAAGATGCCGAGCGCTGCCGAGTGCTGCCGAGTGTCTCGGGAAACCTCGGGAGTTGGCGGTGAGGGGAAACCAGACACGCCAAGGTGTCTGCAACTCCAATTCTCGACGGGAACTCCAACTCTTGGCTGCAACTCCAATTCCACGAGAAACAATGAATCAACGGGAACCAGTCCGAATACACGTGATATGATACCGCCGACTGGCATCGTCTCGCGGTCGACGCGTTTTCTTGCGCCCTCGCACTCTTTTGGGCTACAAACAAGTAGTCGGTGTGTATATTGTTGGTTCTAGGGTCAGTGAGGGTGATGGCAATGAATCTACGAGCCTGCGAACGTCTCTCCCTACGATGAATGGTCTTGACTTTGTCCGCAGTGATGGACGGCCTGCCTGCCTGGTGGGACGGGTAATTGGGTGAGAGAAGAAAAACGAGGGATACAGAGAGGGGGAGGGTCTCAAGAACAAGCGGAACAAGAGACGAGTCTGTATCATTCAGTTTCGATCAGTTTCTGTAGAATCAACTTGTCTGGTTGGTATGAGTAGAAAAGTTTCAAGAGATGAGATTAGATCAGATCAAGGTGACTAATCAGATCAGACCCATCAAATACCAGCAACCCCGCAGACAAGGACACTGCCCTTTGACTGCACACCGGAGTACTGCACACGGCTCTACTACACACGGTGGGCGGTGGATGGCGACGGTGTATAGCGGAAAGCAAGGCAGAGAGTGTTTCGGGATAATGTAACAAGCAGAAGTAGCTATCAGAGGGAGGAAGAAGGCATTGAATCAATCGGCGGTTGTGTACGAGCCCAAAGATGGAAGTCCGGACGAGGTATGCCTCTGCGTTTACCCAGCCGTATGTCAGTTATCGTGAACACAATGAATGGTTATCGCAAGGGATGAACAGAATAAGGGTAGAACTATGGAAGTATTACATTGAATCTCTCCCGTTGTCTGAATAACTGGATGTGTGCATATATGGATGACCGAGATACTCCGCGGAGTGACCTCAGCCCGGCAGACTTGGGCTCTATAGGCATCTTCTCCCCGGTGCCCCAGCACAATAATTATACCTATTCGCCCCTAAATATTGTACCCTTGGGCACTCGTCGGCACCCCAAATACACCTAAACACACCTAAACACCCACCAACAGCGCCCCCCATCAACTCCCCGGAACCACGTTCAACTTGCTAAATTCTCCCTTGATGATTTACTTGGTTCAGCACCACCAGCACCTTTTGGCAGTCCTCGGTCCCCCCAACACCTCCAACCCAACGACTTTTCCCTTGAATAATGACACCAAAACACCACCGATACAGCCCATAACACCCCATCAACTCCCTCCAACACTGCATATTCTCCCTCGAATAGTTACACCAAAACACCACCAATACAGTCCACAATACTCTACTAACCCCCCATCAACTCCCTGTAACTCCTCACAAGCCCTTAAACACTACCAAGTCTCCCCTGAATAATTGCACCCTTTAGCAACCCCCCATCACACCCAAACATCCATCAGTAACGCCCATAACCCCCCATCCCACTCCCCGTATCTCCCTGCAACCACCTTCCACACTGCAAACTCCCCCTTGAATAAATTGCATCGATATTGGTCCTGCAGACACACCCGCCCCACCAAACCGCATCCATGCCCACCATTCTGACAACTTTTGCTTGCAACAAGTGCACAACCCTGCAATTTTGGGAGTATTATTGCTCTACTGTGACCTGCACTTGTAGTTCTACCATTTCGTTGGCCTGAATCGACTGCATGGTGACATTCCGCCCCTTGTGTCTTTCAAAGGCAAGATAATGCGAGGCGGGGGTGGTTGAATCACCTGTTGCCAAGCCTCTTGGACGACCTCCTCGTATGCTACCAGTATATATTCCAGCCTCACCCGCCGTTCACAGCCCTCCCCTCTCTCTTCCTCTTTCAACACACTACATTACACAACCTCATTGACTGTTGCTGCCTCCAAGATACAGATCAAGCGTCCAGAGTCTTTTTCTGTGAGGTAGGATCTTCTTTGCCGACTATACTTCGCGGTAATGACAAAGAAAGGGACTATCCACGACCCCTCTCCCCCGCCAATGATGACTCCTGTCGCCTGGAACTTGCCAATGGGCACTCTTCTCGGGGCTGCGGTAGGCAGGATCTTACTCCAGACAGACCTACGCCGTGCTGACATAGAAAAGGACCCGGGATCGGACGTCTACAAAAATCTTCACCATTTTGCGGACAACCTGTCCATCAAACACAGAATTCATGAGGATCAGGCTGCGCCAAGTGCTCAAACCCGTTCAACAAAAGATGTTACGAGTGAAAAGCTGCTCGATGCTGACGACAGAAAATGGCTGCAAAGACAGATTGACATGCGGTCAGAGAGCATTCTCGATTACAGCACAGAGGTTGAGAAACTGGAGAAACAGCTCCAAGAAGAGATCAAGATGTCTGCTGATCTCTTCGAAGACCTGAGCCGGGTGACCAATGCGCTGGATGCCAGCATCGCGGCGAAGAATGGACCTGCGGACGGACCCGGCGATTCGACCACAGACCTCAGGCTCCTGCCTGACGCGACAAGACTTCAGGTCTTTCATCACATGCTAGATTTATCTCTTACCAGAAAAGTCCTCCAAGAGAAAGCGGCAATTGGCAAGCAGGCCATCTCCTTCCACACAAAACTAAAGGATTTGCTGTGGCAGTCTAGAAGTTTGGTGGTGGCGAAAGGCCGCCGGTTGGGGATTGACGTCGGGGCGGGTCCCTTCAGGAACCCCATGTCGAGGCTCAAGATAGAAATGAAGGAGCAGGGAGACGATCAAGTTGCAGGGGCCTTGGAGCTACAGGAACAGCTGTACCACTTGAATGTGTCATGTGGCCTCGAATGCAGGTGTTGGCCGGAGGCTGAGATTCCGTCACCAGCGCCCGTGTCGGGAGCCAGGCAGACAGGGCGTGGAGACAACTGATGGTCTCTGAGGGAGGGGCATGGCGTCGAGCGGAAGGCCGGTGTGGATCGGGATACTGGGATGGGTGGACGGTCTCTTCAACAGAGCATCCAATGGACAGGGAAAAGGGTGTCGTGTGGGTGGGAAACGGCACGTTCTCTTCAACAGAGCCTCAAATGGGCGGGGAAAAGGGTTCAGTATGGGCACAGCGTCACACGTTCTTTACAAAGCGCCACGAATGGCACGGCAGGGGACAGCCAGCGGGCTTCTGATGACAGGAAAAATGCATGGGTAGTGCCTCAAACGGCAACGAAGGATTTCGGTATCACTCCAATGACCAAGCAATGTTGTCCCATCGACAGACGAAGCCTCCAATAGTAGATCATGTGCTCGAGTGACAGCCAAGGTAGTCCGCGAGGGTGAAGGCGCTGGCTCAGAGACACGGCGACAGCCAAAGCCCCCCCGCCCACCGGTCCCCGCCCACCAACGAACGCCTGCGGGAAAACGCAACAGAACGCCATGCCCCACCCGAAGAGTTAAGGCCGGACGCCTTACAGTAGTCGCTGAGGCTCACGGCATGGACACACCATCGACGCCCGACGCCCAACCCCGCCGCCAAGGGGGAAAGTGTTTGAGTACGAAACGTTCTGATGCCAGTGACAACCAAAGTCCCCACCGAACACCATCGGCCCCTCCAAAGACCTGAAACTAGACGCTTCGAGGCATTGGTCGCGTTACACGGCACCGACACCCCCCCGAGGCAAGCAAGAATGTGCAGGCCCAAAGACACCGTGACAGCCAGCGTCCCCTACGAGTGCCATCGGAACGACGCACGCAAACGCCACGCCCCACCAAGGACCCAAATCGAGACGCCCTGAGGGATTTATTGAGTTACACGGCAGGGACACCTCACGAATGCCAAAGGGCATCGGTCAGGGTGAACGTGTAGACGGCGGGAGCCAAAGTTCCCACCGAACACCACCGGAAAGACGCACGCACGCGCCATGCCCCACCAAGGACTGAATCCAGACGGTTTTAAGCACTTCTCGTGTTACACGGTATGGATCCATCATCAACGCGCAGCGCCTTTCGCCCTCGCCAACAGCATTAGGTCAGAGACAACACGACACGTTCCCTCCGCCTGGCACTTAAGGCATTCCAATAAAGGCCTGCGGAACGATGTTGCATTTACGCCATGCCCCACCAACGATCTACGTTCGGGCACTTTAAGGCATCCATCGAGACACACGGCACAGACACATCATCAAAGATGAACGCCTTAGACTAGGGAAAACGAGACGCGACCCCTCCGCCTGGCAGGTAAGGCATTCCAATAAACGCCTACGGAACGACGCAGCATTTACGCCACGCCCCACCGGCGACCTAGATTGGGCACTTCGGGGCATTTACCAAGTTATGCGGCACGCACACATCAGAACGCCATGGACCTGATAGTATGAGACACGTTCCCTCCGCCTGACAGGTAAAGCACTCCAATAAACGCCTGCGGAACAAGGCAGCATCGCGCCACGCCCCACCGACGACCTATATCCGGGCACTTTGAGGCATTTATCGAGTCACACGGTACCAACACACCACCCAAGCTGAACGCCGCGGGACCAGACACCAAGCGACATGTCTCAGAGTGACAGACAGCAAATGCCACTCCATTCCAATCAAGGGCGGCGCAACTATGCACGTCCGTGCCACCTCGCTTCCAAAACCTGATTTCGCGCACTCCGACACACCCATTGAGCACTGACAGGGCAATAATTGCCTCAATCTCGCCCGCAAGTCCTTGCATGCCTCTATACAACGACGCATCAGGCTGAGATAAAGTTCGGGGCTTGGCAGATTGATAGGCTCACAACAAACCTGGGCGGCCGGACGCCTAAAGCCCCTTGGACGAATCACTTGGCCGACTTAACCCCAATTCTTTCTAGCGGAACCAGATAGTCCCCCTTTAGCGTCCAGAGCTCGTTGCTGCCCGAAACTATAAAAGACACGTCCACCTCCTCCCCTTCGGAGGTTCATTTTTTCCCATCTTTATCGTCAACAACCAAAGTTTCTCTCCATTTTACTACTTTTTTTGCACGAGTTATCTGCTTTTGATCTTTTTTTTGTCCCCGGAGATCCACAAACACAGTATCCTCCAAGTTTTTCGTCTGTTTTTGACCGGGGCGTGTCCGATCTCCTCCGTCGACATCTGGCCGCAACCGCGTCTGCCCAGCACCACAGCAAGCCCCAAAACACCAAAAACATTTCCTTCTGAGCAATTCCCACATCCCGGACCGCGTGCACGCGTGCCTGGCGCCCGCATCTTGACCGCCAACGCCGGAACGATCGCAAAAACCAACTCCGACGCACCCGCAGCAACAGCAATCTCCCTGCGCCCCAAGCACTGACGAAAGAACCCTCCCTCTAACGAAACCACAACCCACGGCCGAAGCCGCCACAGCAACAACCCCTTTGTGTGCCAGAAAGACTCCCCCGAGCAACACAACCACAAACGCAGGCAATGAACATCGCCATGGCAGACAATCGGCCCGTTCCCGCGGGCCACAAGAGCTTGGACACAGGCACACCGCACACACACACACACGGGGACATCCCCTTGGGACCGTGGGACACGGACGACCCGTTCAGGGTCAACTTCTGTCCACCGAGTCTCTCCTATTCAATTTTCGTGGGTCTCGTCCACTAGTATCGGACGAGATTCACGGCCGTCTGGGGGAGCAAGCCCAGCGGGATGGGTTCCGTGCCGGCGTGAGCGCGGGGGGGGGGGGGGGAGGAGGGAGGAGGGCCGTGGATTACTGTCCACCGAGTCCCTCCCATGGTCTCGTCCGGACCATGGGAGGATGACCTCCTGCCTCGGTCCACCGAGTGCCTCCTACGGTCTGTCCGTAGGAGCCGGCACTCGGTGACCAGTTTCGGGACCAGAGCGAGGACCTGGTGCTGCGGTCCGCAATCGATGTCCTTGGAGCCGCTGTTTGGGTCCTACGATCTGGCTGATCCGTCGGCCTACGTCGAGGCTCACTCGAGTGAGGCGATCGCCCTTCGAAGGGGGTTTGCGTACATGAAGAGACTCCCTGGACTGGACTGGACGAACAGCACCTCCGTGGCTGGACGAAGCCCAATTATACGTTTCGACCTTTGAAAAGGACCCTGGCTCTTGCATCTTGTGGCCAGGGGGTCCGAGACCGAAGGACACAAGACAACACACACGAAACAGCGGCTGGAGCATTCAACACATGCTCGCATCCGCGGTAAACAACGGAAACACCGACCTCTTGAGCGAGGGCGATAACGAGCTCGACAAGGGTGGCGGTATTCCATCCGACAGAAAACAGAAAGAAAAGAAAAACATATCCGACACATCGGACAACAAAGCCTTTACCTATTCGACAGAAAGACTTATCGGACACACCGACATCCATCCGACAGAAAGAGATTCGCATTGCATGTATCTGATGGCAATCGAATCGCGCCGACGAGACACACGGATGACAGACCGACCACAAGAGTCAAGACACACGCGGCCGGAAACCAACAACGAGCCTCAACAAGAACACTCGAGAGGTGATGACCATCGTGACGAAAGAAAGAACTCGTCAAAACACCAACGTTTTGCCTATCGTTCCGGGGATCATGACATGACAAGACACGAAAACCCCTTAGAAGAAAGGATCCAAGGGTCGACAACACACCTTGGACGGCAACATCGGTTCCAATCCAATTCGACAAGAACAGGAACGAGAAGACCGTGGCGGGTGAGTCCGGGAGGCATGAGCCTGTCTAGCATTCCATGCTCCCGTCCTCCAAGAATCGCGAACAAGACGTCCCCCGCCTGAAGACCTTACGACAAGCCTTGACAACATCGTCGACACAAGGATCTGTACAGACATCGCACAAGACGACCTAAGCTGGCCCGAAGTTTGTGCAACCCATTGCGGTGCACAAAGTTATCGAACAACAGGACCGAGGTTTGTGCAACCCAGCACGACAAGAAGCACACCCCGACTAGAGGACCGAGGTTTGTGCAACCCAAGGCGGTTGCGCACAATCCGACAAGACACCCGAGGTTTGTGCAACCCAAGGGTTGTGCAACGCAGCTGTCGGACACCGTGCCTGTGTGGGTTGCCGAGACCGACGGATCCAAGACAAAAGAAAAGAGCGTGGACTCCTAAGAGAGCCTATTGACGTTTGAACAACAAACACCCCTATTTAGCCAACAAAGTACTCGACGCTAAGACGCGAGACGAAAGACTTATGCCCAAGACAAGGCACTCCGGCTGTGTCGAACAACACCAGGTCGACTTACCAGGGTCCGAACACCCTGAAGCCTTCCTGAAGGTCCTTGCGGGAGTCCCCTGAAGCCTTCCTGAAGGTCTCTGCGGGAATCCCCTGAAGCCTTCCTGAAGGTCTCTGCGGGAATCCCCTGAAGCCTTCCTGAAGGTGCCTGCGGTAATCCCCTGAAGCCTTCCTGAAGGTCTTTGTGGACAGACTCGACACAGCTGGCATCGGTAAAAGAAAAAGAGCGTGATAGAGCATGCTCTGGAGATATCGGTCGAGGTGCGATGGTCGCATGCACCGTTGGCCCCGGAGAAGATGAAGAAGAGGATGATACGTTCGTGCAGACCACCAAAACGCCCTCAAAGAAGAACTCGTCGACACGTGTGGACTATCCATATCGACCTTTGACGGAAGACACCGAGACGAAGGACCGAAGCACCGACGAGGACTCGATAACGGACTCGACACGGTCCCAACATTCGGTTTTGCTCGGGGAACTTATACATCGTTCCCGTGGCAAACAAAAAGAAGATTTAACAGAAGATCTTTTATATCCTGTTTCCTGTGCTGTGTGGTGAGGACGGCTTTGCCTAAGATGCAGATGCTACCCGCCACATGCGGGTAAGACAACGGGGCCCAAACCATGTGTCCTGCCGGCGGCGTCGAAACAACAACAGCAGCCTCTCTCCAAGAAGAGCTCAACGCGGTCAACAACACTGGAGATACCAGAGACCACAGCAACCTGTCGAGGACGAACTCGCCGTCAATACACCAGAAGGGATACAAGTATACCTTCCACGGCACCAGAGGGAGTCCTGTTCGGTCTCGCTATCGGTCTTGTCGGTCCAGTGCTCAACCGCCAAGACACTGTCGGTTGTGCCGGTCCGGTTCGAGGATTGCCTGTTGCCTGTGGCGAAGAGACACAGAGAGAAACAAAAGAGAAACGGAAGATGGACAGAAAGACGAATGATCCCGGAACAGGATTCAGCAATGCTGTCTCACGGTCCGGAAAGCACCATATATATATGTATGGCAAGGCGTTCGAAAAAGAGAACGCATAGAAGGGTTGAGAAGCCGTCGTCGTGGGTGCGACGATGAGGAAGATTATACCGACGAGGGTCGGGTCGGACGGATGAGGAAGCAGATGATGAGAGTTCCGATTGCCGGAGACGATGAGGAAGAATATACTGTGGACGCGGACAGGGACGAGCTGTAAGCAGTTCGTATGTCGACAACAGTCAAGTCGATCGATGGAGATGAAGAGGACAGCGACGGTCCGGATAATGAAGCAGATGATGAGTGTTCCGAGTGATGGAGATGAAGAGGACAGCGATGGTCCGGATGATGAAGCAGATGATGAGAAACACTATACCGTCGACAACGACATGGACATGGACAGGGTACCAGGACGAGCTGGACGAAGCCCAATTATGTCGCCGTCGAAAACAACAAGGACATGACGAAGAACTATACACAAGGGCAGAGAGAATGAGCTCGACGAAGCTCAATTTCTACGACCCTGCCTGTGTGTCGTTGCCCTTTGCCGTGGGGAATCCAGGGAGCAGTATTAGCACCAGCACCAGTATCATGATCAACACCAAGCCCGAGTCGGAGTCGAGGTCTGCTACCGGGATAGGAAACCCGTGGTTTGACCAGACAGAGTTCGGAATTGACTCAGAGCGAGATCGACAGCGACGTTATAGCCCACCCACCCTCTCCCCCCCGTTTTCCTGTCTTTGGTCCTCGTTACTGCCGGGTAACAGGGACCAAGGACGGGAATTGGAGTGAAAAATAGAATATCTTTGATCTTGTCTGTCACTGTCTCTCTCCCCTTTGCCAATCCGTTGGTGCCCTTTGCGTAACCGACGTGTTTGAGCCCTTTTCAGTGCGCCGTGACCTCGCTGTCGCCCAAGGAGACCTGGTTTGCGGCGAAGTCTCCTGTTTTGCGGCGGCGGCGCTGTGGCCTTTGCACTGCGCTGATCCGGTTTGCCGTGCGGTGTTGGGCGTAGTTTCCTTGTCCTCTTTGCTCCGTGCGGTGTCGGTGACGTGGTATTGACGCCCTCTTGCGGCCAGAGGCCCGTTCTGCGGTGTTGGCAGCGTTGGCGGTGTGAGTGGTGGCGGTTTTGGGGGACTTGGTGATTTTCGTGGTCTGGATGTTTGCAGTGTTTGCACTTTTCGCGGTCTTGGCTGGGCTTGTGGACTTTGCGATTTTCGTGGTCCTGATGTTTGCACTGTTTGCGCTTTTTTTGTCTTGGCGCTGGTGTCTCGGCGTTGGTGTTGGACTTGTGATTTTCACCGTGTTGAATGTTTGCAGTGTTTGCACTTGTCTTAGTCTTGGCATTGGCGTCAGCGTTGGACTTGGCGTCAGTGTCTTGGCAGTGACTTGTTCATTTTCGTCATGTTGTATGTTTGCAGTGTTTGCACTTCTTTTAGTCTTGGCGTCGGTGGTGTCTCGGCCGTGACTTAGTCATTTTGGAAGTGTTGAATGTTTGCAGTGTTTGCACTTTTTCGTCTTGGCATTGGTCTTGGTAGTGCCAAATGGCCAAGAGCCGAAGACTTCAACGACAAACGAGCCATGGCGGTGTTTGGAGCGCGTCGGTAGAGTCTGTAGGTTGAAACCTTGTCTTGGTCAATACGGAGGCAGGCAGGCGGCCCTCAGAGGGCGAGAATCCGCGAGATATTGAGCGAGTCTTGACTCTGAGTCATTGAGACGGACGGAGAGGCAGTCTTGGTGGTTTTGAGCATTGACTTCGTGACCTGGTGTCAAATGGAGAAGGAAATGCGATGGAGAGAGGATCTTGGTGGTGTTGGTAATGCCAGAGAAGATATTGGTAGTAGTATTGAAGATCTGAAGAGTCCAAGGGCCCTCCGGATGAGAATCCGGGTGATTGATATTGAGTGTTGACTTTGTCAAGGGGGACGGGGATGGAGAGAGGGGGATCCTGGTGATGGTGGTAATGCCAGGGAAGAGAGAATCGTGGCTATATGGGCATTGTTGATGATCTGAAGAGTTCTGGAGACCCTGGGAAGAGATTTCGGGCGACATCGAGTGTTGACGAGGTCCAAGGGACAGATGGACTGACAGAGCAGTCCCGGAGATGGCTGGTGATGGGTAGCTATGGCCGTGTTGACCATTCGAAGTGTCCAAGGGCCCTGTATAAGAGATTTCAGGTGAGAGACAATCGTGACTATGTGATCCGAAGGGTTTGGGGGCCTTTTGGAAGATATTCCTGGCGATATCGAGCGTTGGCGAGGCCAAAGGGACAGAGGGAGCAAGAGACAAGTCCAGGAGATGGTTGGAGATGCGTATCCATGGCCGTGTTGACCATTCGAAGTCCCCAAGGGCCCTGTGGAAGGGATTCCGGGTGATGTTGGGGTGTTGGCTGTGTCAAAGGGACGCAAGGAGGGATAGAGAGTCCCGGGGATGGCCCTGTTGAGGATTTGAAGTGTCCAAGGGCTCTCGGTGAGCGAATTGGCGTGTTGTTCATGTTGATTTTGGTGTTGTAGAGGCCAAGGCCGAGGTAGAGAGTCCACCATGGGTGGTCAGGTCTTGATTCATTGTGACTTTGTGAGCGGGAGGGGTGCAGAGAGGCGGAGGGCGTTACGGAGGCAGAGAATCAAGTGAGATGATGAAAACCCTCTGATTGCAGAGGGCGAGAGAGCCGTGGTGATGTTTGTTTTGATTCCGGTGTTGAGAGGCGGTAATTGCATAGTAGAGGTAGAGGTAGAATCCTGGCGATATTGATGGTCTGCCGCTGATTTTGAGGCAGACCATCGCGGGTAGAGCAGGTATGGCGGCGTCAAGTGTTGACAATTGAAAGGAGAAGGAGAGAATCCTGCCTGGAGTGGGAGGTTTTGAAGAGTCGACGAGTCCAAGGGAGACGGGGATCGTAGGAAATGGTCCATGTTGAGTTGATTATTGGGTCAAGGGTCCGTTTAATGCGAGGAGGAATGTCCTCAAGGTCACAGGGTTGCCAGGGAATCAGGCCCCACGTTCGCACCTGAGGGTGCAGACCAGGCCCGTGCGGTAAAAGAGACAAAGAGACGGAAGCAGGTATCCAGGTAGACAGTCCCAGGGTAGTGACGGTCATGGTGATTCGATTTTTGGCGTTGAAAGGGCCATTCCATGGTAAAAGGCTGGGAATCGTGGTGATGTTGACCGTGGGGGAGAAAATCCCGGTAATATGAGAGGTTGAGAGTTCAAGGAGAGAGAGAATCATGAAATATTCATCAATGGGGTGGATTCTGACAATCTGGTATACCCCAAATACCGTACTCCGTCCTATTCCCCTTTTGCTTGTACTTGTGCTTCTCGATTGAAGGAGTGTGGACGTGAACCAGCGATGCCGCGCCTAAGAAAATATTCCTGCTTCAATTTCACCAATGTCACCAATTGTCTCCGTCATGGCGAGTCTGTCTCGCTCTTATAACAATCCCTTGCATATTCAAATGCCATACATTGTAATGTTATACTGTTTCTGCTGCCGCTGGAGGAAGATATAATAGGAAAGACAAAGGAACGACCGAGGGTGGTAAGCCGTGCGGGCTGCGCAGGCTGCGTGGGCGTTGAGGGTGCATGCGTCACTCCTCCCGATAAGAGAGCTTCCGCATTTCCGCCAGTCTCGCCTGCGCCGCGTCGAGGGCATTGCGAAGTTGAAGGATCTCGACCTGTGGAGCGAAGCGCAGTTAGCACATGACAGAGAGAGAGAAGCGGAGAAGAAAGGGTTGGGCACGTACCTGTTGTTCCATCTCCCGAACCTTGAATTCATGTCCGCTGAGGCTGGCATAGTCGGTGGATTCGCCTTCATCCTTGGCCTTTTGCTTGATGATGTCCTGAACTTGCCGGACCAATGCACGACAGGCAGCTCCCACGGCCCTGCTGGCCTGCTCCAAGCGGTCCTGGGTCTCGGACATGAAGCTGGCCTTGACACGAGACGCCGCCACCAGTTGAGCCGTGGACGCAGCCACATCATTCGATGCCACGATCAACTGCTCGGGGGAGTTGCGGCCGGAGATGACGCCGTCCGCAGTCTCAATCAGAGTGTTGGTGGATGTGGCCACGGCTTTGGCGGCAGAGATGAGACCCTCGGTCCAGCGGTTGTTCTTCTTGTAGAAGGCGGTACGGGACGAGGAGCCTCTGCCCTCACGCACAATCTCGTTCTGTGATTCCGTGGCGGCTTTGATGAGTTTGGCAATGGCACCGGTCACAGCGAGCGCCGCGGCGAGGATCGAGTCGTTGAGCTTCAATTCGTACGTGGAATAGCCGTCGCGAGGCTTGTTCTTCAGCTTGGCCAGACGCTCGGCCGCAGCATCAATGGCGTTGGCGGCCTTGGTCAACTCCGAGTCCACCAGGTCGCCCAAGTCACCCGTGGTCGAGAGCTTGCTGCCCTTAGGAGCAAAGGTCTCGGCCAACTTGGACAGCTTCTGCAGTTGCACGAGAACGTCGTGATTGCTATTGACAACCACGTCGGTCTTTTGCATCGGCTCCATGCCTTCAAGGCGGAAAGACTGCAGGCTGCGGAAGAGCTTGACCGTGGCGAGGGCGGATTGACGGGCGGCGTCCACCAGTTGGTCGGCCTTCTTATCCTCGGTGGCAAACCGTGTCAAACCCTTGGTATTGGACAGCACGTCGGCAATCGAGGCGGCGAAGACAGACACGGTCTTGATGATGTCGGCATGGGGGCTGTTGGGTCCGTCCGCGATAAAGTTATTAAACGCGGTCGAGAACTCGGTGGCACTGGCTGCCGCCTTTTCAATCTGAGAGAGGACGTAGGGCGCCGTGGCGTTTTGGTTGCCGGCCTGCATGGGAGAGTCGAGTTCGTACATGGCGTCGTCGACTCGCTGCACACCGCTCTGAAGGACGGAGTCGATAATATCGTTGATCTTGTCGACCGTGGTCTTGAGGACTTGGTCAATGGCGCTGTCCAGGGCGCCGTCCGACTCGCCGTGGCCCAGTTTGAGTTCTTCGAGCTCTTCCAACGCGGACTCCATGCCGGCTTTGTAGATTTCAATCTCGTCATCCTTTTCTCGAAGGGCGGCCTCGTGGTCGGCGTTCCTATCGCCATGCGAGAGACGGACTTCTTCGATTTGGCGTGACTTGTTGCGAACGGCGGCTTCCAGGTCGGCCACTTCGCGATTGTACTTGGACAGCAGCGCGGACAGTTCGGACGCTTTGGCCTTCTCGGCATCCTCGGCGCGTTCGAGGGCCAGGCGCAGTTCGCGTTTGAGCTTCTCGACCTCTTCGCGGTTGGAGCCCTGGGCGCGGTCCTTTTCGTGGAGGGCACGGTCGCGTTCACGGATCATGTCGGCCAGCTCCAGGTTCTTGGTCTTGACCTCGCGTTCCAGGCGTTCTCGGCGATCAATGGCTTCCTGGGCCGATGCGGCTTTGAGCTTCAAGGACTTGTTGGTTTTGAGCAGCTCGATGTGCTCGGATCGGAGCTGGGCATACAGTTTGGCCAGGGCCTCGTACTTGGATCGCCACTTGTTGATCTGTTCCTGCAACGCGGCCATCTGGTCATCCTTGGACTGGGATTGCATCTGGAAGTTGGCGTTGAGCTGCTGAAGTTGTTCCTCCAAGGCCTTCATGCGTTGATCATATTGCTGCAGCATCAACTGATCTTGCTCATACTGGGCCCGGGCATTGAGGTTTTCACGCTCCAATTCGGCCAGGCGACCCTGAGTCTGGGCGGCGTACTGATCGCGGAGGAGTTGTTCTTGAGCCAGGCGTTGTTGCTCGGCCTGCAAGCGTTGTTGTTCCTCGAATTGCCGCTGCGCCTCTTGCTGTGCCAGCATCTGCTGACGCTGCTGGTCTTCCCGCTGCTGCTGTAGGCGGCGTTGTTCCGACTCATACTCTTCTTGTTGGCGCTGGGCCTCGCGGGTCCAGAAGTCCTCAATGTCCTTTTGTGCATTGTCCGGGCTGCCGTCATTCTTGGCCACGGGGGTGGGAGGTTTCTCGATCTCTTTGGCAGGGCGTTTCGGGAGAGCCGGTCTCTCTTCATCGGCGGCAAGGAGGTTGGGGGGGTCCTGAGGCAGTTTGGGGACCGTGATCAAGGAGGTCAGGTACCGCAGGTTGGAACACTCGTAGTAGAACTTGACGAGGCGATGGTGTTGAGCGTTGAAGCGGGAACGGAGTGGTTCCAAGGCCTCCTCGTCACCAGTCGTGGTGTACATGGCACGGAGCATGCTGGTTTCGAACTTGTAGATACCGTAGCTCTCCTGGACCAAGGCCACCACGGCGGCAATCTTGCACTCGTTGTTGCTTCCCGGCAGAAAGTGGGAAAAGATGAGCTTTGCGAATGTATCGATCCGATCTTGCAAGGTCATGAGCTCGGTAATGGTCTCGTAACCTTCATTGGGGTCATTGATTGATCGGAGACTGATGTATTCTTCATACTCGAACAGGCCGTTGAAGTCGGGATGGTTGCGGTGAAAGGCCAATTTGGCCAGGATATAGTGGACGTATTCGCGGATGAGAGGTTGGTATCCTCGCATACCGTCTCCTGTACCGCCTCTAGCGATACTCTCGATCCAATTGATGTTTTGCTGCGCCTCTTTGACCGTGATCGGGTGGCCCTCTTGAAGGACCTTGTGGATGGTGATGCAGGCTTTGAAGGTCTGGACTTCATCCGCCATGATGGGCCTATTTTCTCGTTAGCACCTGAGCGGGGGAGGGGGCGGAAGAGAGAGAAGAGTACAGAGTACTGCCATCGAAGAGGCGTTTGACGATCTCGACCGGGAGCATCAAGGGAGCCATGATGGAGGGCGCGGAGCGCAGGCGGGGTAGAGAGAGCAGCTGGGAAGAGAGAGAGAGAGACGGGAAGACGGAGGAGAGAGAAGACATACAGGACTTTCAAACCCGCCCAGAAGGACAGGGAAGAGCGATGATCCCAAGTGTACACTATGCAGGAGCGAACATGCTTTCTCTTAGGCGCAGTTTCCTCAATGCTGGTGGCCTTGCGGATATTAACAGCAAGATCCGACTCTGTTTTGGCCATATCTATGTTCCGCCCCGTGCCCGTCGCCAGCGCTGGGTATGCCATTGTGTTTGAATGGTCGTCGACCACCTGAGTCCTGCCAAAGCCGTCGTAGAATGCGCCGGCACCAGACCGCCTCCTGGGCCGGGGGTCCTGGTTCGGGGGGACGAAGTACGCCAGATTGACCGCGGGAGACTGGCGGAAGGGAAGGAGCGGGAGGAGGAGCAAGTGCGGAGGAGCTCAACGGCGGTGTTGAGCCATTCGAGGGTCGGGCGCAGGCAGGAGGGAGTGTGGTAAGATGGAAGGTGCGGAGGACGGTTGTTTTTTGCGCAGTTTTGATATTCGGGGACACGCGGCTGCCGCAGCGCGGCTAGACTGGCTTTGGTTTAGCTGATCTTGGCCATTTGGTGAGCTGCACGTGAGCACGCGACATTGCTGAGACTTGGCGGCAAGTTTTCCGAGGGCACGTGAAAACGTGAAGTGGTTTTGTTAGCGCGTGTCTATTCTTGGCAGCCCCTTCAAACTCCGCAAATCCCACCATTTGATTGGCCCAATGCTGGTACCGATCAGTTTTGGGCGTGGTGGTGCCCCCAAGAGCCCGGAATGATGCCCGGAAGCGCCCGTAAGCACCGCACCTCAACATGACCACCCTGCAACACCCACCAACACCCACTGCAATCCTCTGCATTGCAGTCTTCAGTACTGCAGCGATAATTACTGCACCCCAAATACATCAAAGTATGTGTTGTTTGTGTGCTTGTCGGTTTGGTGGTTGGTTGAATTGTCTGATCTGATTAGTCACCGTATCTGCTGTGCAAGGCGAGAACACGACAACATGTAGTATAAACACAGGGATACGTGACTTGAAAGTACAGAGGATTGTGTTGGTAGGTAGGAGATTGATAGCTGGAGAGGTGAGATGTGGTGCAGCGTATGTCATTCAGCGTAGTGCAGACAGATGGGTGGGACGAGGCTGCATCCGAGATCGCACCGTCATATACCCTTGTTCAAGTGCGGATAGGAGAGCGGAGTATCAGAGAGACGAACGAGGAACAGGCAGCATCAAAGAGAAGAGGGACAATGGGGACCTTGACTTGAGATAATTCTGAACAGATTCTGAGCATCAGCCAAGAGACGGATGTAATCATCAACCCATTCAGTCCTCGATCCTTGCGGTCTTTAACATTCCCTTCCTTTTTCAATGATCAGATCAAGCAGACTCAACTCCATTTGATCCTCCCTGATCGCTTACAGCCCATTACTCGTTAGTACGTAGTGCAATGGTGTTATGATGAGTGAGCTGTGTTCAACCTTGACTTTTCAAAGGGTACTGCCTTCGTGAGCGCCTCGGGGGTACTAACATGCTGGTTGTATACCCTCACCCTCCCTCCCTCCCTCAATCAATCAATCAATCAATCAATCAATCAATCAATCAATCAATCACCCTTCCCATGAACAATATCCTGTAGGCCATTGTATATGTACCCTCATGCCTCTTCGTCTTCGACTTCGCCTCTGATCCCAGCAGATGGTGTCTGTGTTGATCCTCTGACAGATAGAGACAGTAGCAACTGCCCTGAACAAACATGACCTGATCTGGTCTACCTTTCCTCGTTGTAGAATGACGTTGTGATTTGCGTGGCCTCACCCATGTTTGTATGTATTTGGACACATTGTATTCGTGACTGCCGGGTATCTTGCCTTGTTGATGACGCGTTCCACCCTCCTCCTTCGCGTCTCAATAATTTTCACCATAAAAGCCTCAACATCCATCTTGTTTTGGTCTTGGTTCTTTCTCTTCATCTATCTTTTGTCATTTCTTCTGCCATTTATCAGCCATTTATCAATTATCTTCAGTCATCTTCTTCAGTCAGCTCTTCTGCCATCTATCAGTTTTTTCTTCGGCCATTGTCTTCAATCACCATTGCTCAGCTTCAGTCATCTTCTTCAGCCATCATACACAGCATCATCGTCCATTCTCTGCCTTTGTTGCTTAACTTCAGCCATATTCAGCCACTGTCTTCAACCATTGTTGCTCGCTTCAGTCCTTCATTCATCTTTCACCATCTTCTATTGGCAAGAATCTCTCCCTGTTCTGCTGTACATCAAATCTAATCTGCGTTAGCCATCTACCTTCACCTTGACCATCTCCGCCATAAAAGACATTTCAACTTGGACAACAACAACAACGTCAATTGGACCCTGTCTCAAAGGCATTCAACTTGGACATATGCACCTTTGGAGTCTTCTCACAGACGTTTCGGCTTGGAACCATCAACTTCAATTGGACTGTTCTTGGACATCATTAGCCAGAGGAAGCAAGGCAGGATCTTGCCCAAGGGAAGCAAGGCGGGACCTTGCCCGAGGGAAGCATGGCGGGACCAAAGGAAGCATGGCAGGACCTTGCCCAAAGGAAGCAAGGCGGGATCTTGCCCAAAGGAAGCAAGGCAGGACCTTTGTCAGGATTATTGCTATGGATTGGACACACTCATCATATTGACCTGCATACATACATGCACATGGACAGAGTGCAGGCGCACAGGTAGTCAATTCAAACATGTATCCATTAATTCCTTTTCTGCTCGTTCTTGCTCATTGTCACGTCACTCCCCCAACAATCCTCGTGGCCCGCACGCACATTCCGACTCGACAATTTCGTTCTTCCTGATGGTTTCGCCACCACACCGTGTCGGCGTCCTTCTCTTGTCCAGCTCTGTCCCACTAACGATACCTTGCCCGATTGGACGCTTCGATCCCATCGACCTGCGGGCTGTAGTGCCGGCAGCTGGAGCAGAGGTTGTGGCCGCACAAGGTACACTGCCAGATGGAGGTGTGGGGGAGGGTGCACTTCTGACAGAGCCAGTACATGGCGCTGTCGGTGCTGGCGCTGATCTTGCCGTATTCGTGGAGGGGACAGGTCGAGTACGTGAACCGGTAGCTGGTGACCTGGCCATTATACATTGGCTCAGTATTGACTAGGCTGCGGGGGGGATGATCAAACACTTACAAAGCCTGCATTGGAGCCGTCTTGTCTGATCGGCATGATGATGACCTTCCTTGACCTTGTAGGAGGCGAGACTGCGCAAGACGGGTCTCAGTTGACCGACCAAGTGAGTGGTGAGTGGTGAGTGGTGAACGTGTCAATGTTGGTGTTCCGCAGGACACCGCAATAGCCAAAAGGTGATCTCTACCGCCGTGTCGTCACTTTGGGAGAGAATGAGAAACGAGAAACCAACCTGCGAAGACGTTCAATACAAAGCACTGAGCAGAGAGAGACTCTTGGACCTTGCAAGTCATTTCATTGCCAGGCAACCAAACCGCCCGGTCCACATTCCAGTGATGTTGCGGCCTGGTGTTGTGTAACCGGTTTGCCAGGAATTTGTTGGCAGAAAGCCACCATTTCTCGTATTTTGAAGGGGGGCTGGCTGGCTGGCTGACTGGCTGTCTTGACAACCACTACACCAACACCAACATCACAACAGGTTTCAGGTCGTAATCACGGCTCAGATTACTCCCTTGACTTGCTGTGTAACCCACCCTCGCGACGCAACGACTGATGCAAGGACTGGGTGGGTGTGAGAGCAATCAAAATGCCTTCGTATTCGGAAATTGCATACAACCTTGGGTATGTACTCTGGCGAAGGTGAGGCTGAGGATGAGGTTGAGGACAAGACTGAGGCTGAGGCTGAGGCCACCAATCTATCCGAGTGCGTTACGAGATTTACCGCCACCGACCGCCATTCTCTCGCACGATGGACGCACAATCGCCCTCCTGGTCATTGAATTCATGCAACGCACGCACGAACGCACGCATACAGCCCATCAAAGTATGTATTCGAGTGTCTGTCCTTACAACGCTGACTTTGTTTATGCAAGCCATTCCGAAACCATTCCGACGACAGAAGATGGAGAATTCATGCCAATACCTACCGCCGCCCCCTCCACTTCCGCCTCCGCGGGTCTCTCTTCACTGTATTCACAATGGCTGGCCTGCCTGCCTGCGGCGAGGCTCAACCAGGCACTTGTTTACAGCGGACACGTTGCGATCGTAGACGACCAGGAGATAACTAACGGATCTCGCGCCATTTTAATTTAGCTATAATGCCTGTAGGGTGAATCTGTGTATCAAGAAGGGCTGCTTTTATAAATACCATGTACAATTATATCGAAATTTGCTGTTGAATAGCATTTGATTGCCAAACATGTCCCCGTGGTGGTACAGTTGTACCAGGTGTCAATTCCGCGGAACAGGACATGGATGGTCAGCAGAGCCAGCAGAACCAGCAGAACCAGCAGAACCAGCAGAACCAGCAGAACCAGCAGAACCAGCAGAACCAGCAGAACCAGCAGAACCAGCAGAACTAGGAGAACCAGTAGAACAGCGGCCATTGCTTTGCCACTGGGACTCAGTCTATCAATGGCATAACCGGATGCTGAATCGCTGGTGGCGGCGTGTTATCCACGTTCTGTCGCCCGGTCACTGCACTTTCCTGTCCAACTTCCCCTGGTTCATCAACTACACGATGGAGATGCTCCACAGGTACTTGCGGTCAATCCAATGGTTCATCCCTCTCTCATAATTGCCGACAAGTCACCAACCAACATCGGCATTGTTCTCGTCTTGCTCATCAACGACACGATGGAGACGCTCCGGAACGCCCCGGAGCGCTCCGCAACTCTCTGCAACGCCACTTGAGTCGTGGATACATGACACCCGTCAGTTCCTGATAGAGTCCCGTCCAGCTCGAGACGTTTCCCGCTATCCGCCATCCTCATATTTACCACCGTTGTCGACAGAAACACCCACCACGGGGGTGTCCTTGATGTTCGACGCGCTTGTCACATCATGATTGGTCAGTCAATTTTGTACCAGAGTCCCGGGGTCCAGTACCAGAGTCCCAGGGTCTAGTACTAGGGTCCTGGGGTCTAATACCAGAGTCCCAGGGTCTAGTCCCAGAGTCCTAGGGTCTAGCGCTAACGACTAACCAGCCCCACGGTGCCAAGATGGTTTCACCCCCTAAACCCTCCGGGAAATATAAGGCTGGTACAGCGTATACCACAATTCTACCACTCCCACCACCACTACCACCATCTGGCGACAGCAAGAGCCCCCCTCAGTCATTAGGAGAGGAGTTCTCTCACCTCAGCTTCGGCGTTTGGGTTTGATTTGCCTCGAAACGCCTTGTCAGAAGTACTGCTTTTTGCTTTCTCCTTGTCTCAGCCTCGTCTCAGCCTCGTCTCGATAGTATCTCGGCTCCTTTCTCTCTATCAACGACGGCAATATTCGTTATTTTTCTCCCTGCAGCCTGCCTCACGACCGAGTCCTTGACGAAACGGACCCGCAACACCCTCAAAACCCTGTCAAGACAAGAACCGAGTCGTCGGCCGAAGTACCAAACACGGACGAAACCGTCAAGCGGCGACAGGCTGCTCCTGTGAAGCTTCACCCCATCACGAACCTGACCGCCTGCGAAGACAATCAGGAAGTGAGAAGTTGATCCTCTCCACGAACGACGACCCGAAGAACAACAGACAACCATGTATGGGGCCGAAAAAGAAGTGCGGAACATGGGCGAACACGCGCCGCCTGGCGTTGGCGTACAAGCAAAAAAGAGAAAGATGGAGGGAACTGAAGATGGAGAAAGCTCTTCCAAACTACCAAGGCGGCGTGAGCGTGCTCCGGGGTCAAATGATGAGGCTGTGGAGGGGGACATTTCGAGAATGTCGGGGCAACCCGAGCAGACGGGCATCCAAGAGGCGTCACCATTGGGACTCTCAGCTTCAATACCGTATGAAGCTGTGTTTCCACCCCTACCGCATGGCCATCCAAACTACGTTCGGAGAGCCACCAAAGAAGAACTATATGCTTTTATCGGGCGACATCCTGAACGGACGTACATCCGCCATCGGGTGCTTCCTTCATATTTCAACACCCGGGGCTGGCTCTACTGTTCGTGGGTCGCACAGGAGTTGATACTAGAGTGGATACGTGCCCGGGATGACCTCGTGGAGGCGAAATCACCTTGGCCCAAGGATATGATATCAGAGGAAATCATGCTCAACTGTGTGTTGGATTTGAAAGTAATCGTGGGCCAGTATACACGGCTGGAGGCCCGTGTTTCCGACCCACGATTGCAACTTGGGGGGCCAAGTAAATCGGTCAAAACTTACAGCGTCACCATGGCTCAGAAAAACCTGGATTTGGGTCACAGGCTCCTTGGGCTCGAAGACCTCTACCAGACGGAGAAGGCAGAACGCGAGCGGCGCGACCGCATGCTCGCGACCCTCCATACTCTCTTGACTGGGAATCTCGGCAAACACCTCACAGAATACGTCACAACCATGCCGGGAAGCCCGACGGCCGACAAAGACCGTGCCTACGCCGAGGCCTCCAAGCAGTGGCTGGGCTGCATGGACGGGGAGCCCGGGAACGGGGACATGGATGTCGGCCAACCCTCGGCGCCCAGCTCTGGGGCCGACGACGGTCCTGGTGAAGACGACGTTTGTGGCGCCGAGGACGTTCCTGGCGCAGCAGATGTTCCTGGCCCAGAAGACGATCCCGGTGCAGCAGACGTTCCTGGTAAAGAAGATGTTGCTGGCGCAAAAGTGTTGGCCGGGAAGAATGCCATGGATCTGAGCCGACTTCTGAACATGCCGAGTGTGTCTGGACCACCATCATCAGACGGATGACCTCTACACTGATGACACGCAGGCTTGATTGGGACTCTTTCTCCGGCGCGAGAGACGTCCCTCTGTGATGGCAGCCTGGTCTGAGGTACAAACACTCCCCCCCAGCAGTTGGAGGACTCACGAGTTGGGCGACAGTGGAAGAACAAGGGTCACCGGCAGATTGGTCATGCATGCTGCCTTTTCTCTGCTTGCGGCGGAGGAGACAGGGGAGGACGGCCTTTTTGCTTGGATGGCGGCCTCGAGGCAATGGGTTCGGTCTTTGCTGCGAAGGACACGGTTTTCTCTTGTGAGAGGCTTTCCTATTTCCTTTGGTGATTCACTGTCATCGACATCGACATGGGACGATCCTTCTCGAGTACATGGTGGTGCGAGGCCGGTCTGCGGGTTGGGATTCGCACGATTTCCTTTTCTTATAGGACGTTTTTCTTTTGGAAAAATCACTCGACACTGCTGTGGCGTCGACATTGACGATCCTGGCTCGTCTCATCTCCACTCCATCTCATTTCACAGAGAGATGTGTGTGTGTGTGTGTATGTGTGAGTGAGTGGGCTGGGTTTCGCGCGATGTGGCCATCTTTCGGTCTTTCTCAATATATAATACATGATATTACGCTGGCTACTACCTCGTTCCCCATCGCTCACATCCTATTGATCGCTGGTGGTGGTGTGGTGGTGTCGTAGTGCGGCGTTGCGGTGTTTTGGCGTAAAACCTCAATTCTGTCCGATAGTACTCCGGCACAGGCTGCGGATGTGCACACTCTCACACAGCCACTTAAACCTCTCTTGGCCGATAATGGATACTTGGTACATGATATATGACACTCCGATAGCTTACCCCCCATATCTCATAGCTAATGGCCCGCTGGTGGTGCGGTGCGGTGTTGTGGCTGTAAAACCCTTATCTTTTCAGAGTACTCTGAGAGCCCCTCGCACAGGCCGCGAATGTACGCACTCATGCAACCACGAGTTGAGTCTCTCTTGGTCAATAATTGATACCTAATACGTAATACATGTTACTCCGATAGCCAGTACCTAGAATCTCATGGCTAATCGCCAGCTGGTGGTGTAGTTGTGGTGTTGTTGGTGTTGTGGCCCGCGCAGCCGGACAGGAATTAAGGTTTGACAGGTTTACAGACAACCACCTGTTGAAACACCATGGGACAGCACCACCGCACCACAGCACCACAGCACCACAGCACCAAGTGGTTAGCCACGGATTATAGGCTAGAGATATCATGTATCAACTATGAGAATATCAATAAGGGGAGACAGACAGACTCACACCTTCTCAACTATCAACTACCAGTGTTCGGATCGCCAGCTTTACGCACATAATCGAGCGCCGTAAGCGCCTGGGCTACTGTGTCTGGGGCCGTAAGCGACCCTAGCGAGTAAGCGGCTTGCTTACAGGGGCGCGAGACGCTCACGGAACGCGGTTTGCAAGCAGGTTGTTGATCAGGCAAAGGCCACGGAGGAGGCGGCCTGGGCAGGGTTGTATTCTTCTTGTAACTTCCTGTGATGTCTATCTATGTTACCTACCTACCCAGCAGTGCTATGTGCTATGGAGACACTCAAATCCCTATATAAATATATAAATAATTAGTAATTGAGCCCGTAATTGAGTACAACGTTGCTTCGAAGGCCATAGTCCATGGATCGACATTCCCCCCGAGTTTTTCTTCGGCATTTTCGGCATTGTTGCCCACCGCAGGGCGACGAGAGGCTGGCGAGCCAGATGATAAAATAAGCGGCACAGGCAAAATGCCACCACCAACACTAGCACACAGCACCATTAACAACACTACACCATTCACACATAGCACTACCACAACCAAGCCCTAGAACAGACACATACTCCCGCCACTTCATCATATCTCCTAACAACTCACGCCAGTAGTAGAATATGCAATATAATCACATGAGCTCATCACGCATCCGATATACATCCACAT